ACAAATGTTTCAGCAGTGATTAAAGTTAATGGCATGACTGCTGTTATGTCATAGCTAGTTTTCTTTTTTTAATTTTTAATTTATTTTGATTTATCAACAATCACTTCCATATGCTTTTGAGTTTAAAATTTTTCTCCCCCTTCCCACCACCCTCCCCAAGATGGCACACAATCTGATATAGGCTATACATATACATTCCTATTAAACATATTTTCACATTAGTGATGTTGTAAGTGAAAATTAGAACCAATAGGAGGAACCACCAGAAAGAGGAAACAAAACTCAACAGAAGAGAAAAAAATAGCAATTCAAATTCCATAGTTTGTTCTTTGGATGTGGATAGCATTTTCCATCACGGGATCTTTGGAGATGTCTTAGATCCTTGTATTGCTGAGAAGGGCTAAGTCTATCAATATTAGTGATTGCAGAACATGGCTGTTATTGTGTACAATGTTCTCTTGGTTCTGCTCACTTCACTCAGCATCAGACCATACAAGTCTTTCCAGGTTTTTCTGAAGTCAGCCTGTTCATCATTTCTTATAGCACAATAGTATTCCATTACATTCATATACCACAACTTGTTCAGCCATTCCCCAATTGATGGGCATCCTCTCAATTTCCAGTTCTTTGCCACCACAAAAAGAGCTGCTATGAATATTTTTGTACACGTGGGTCTTTCTCCCATTTGTATGATCTCTTTAAGGTACAGCCCTCGAAGTGGTACTGCTGGGTCAAAGGGTATGCACAATAACTACTTTCCGTAGTGTCTTAGTATGTTCCTTGTGACTCTGAGATATATAGTGTAAGCGTTAATCTTCCCATTTTATAGTTCAAGAAAATAGGTGCAGAAGTGAAGTCCACCATCACACAGTGAGTCCCCTGAATGCAAACAATTATCTCATTTTCTCAAATAAGCTTCTAAGGTAGGCAGAGTACCCCTACCCCTATGTAGCACGTGGAGGTTAAATGAAATGTCAAAAGGACATACTGAATTAATGGTACAGCAGGGAGTAGACTACTGCTCCCTCCCTGCAATCCAGTGACACAGATTCTTAGGATTAGTAGTGGAAAGAAGCTTACATCGTTCTAGACCAACCCTCTCCTTTTACATAATGTGAAAATGGATTCAGATGGGGCAGCTAGGTGGTGCAGTGGATAGAGCACCGGCCCTGAAGTCAGCAGGACCTGAGTTCAAATCCAACCTCAGACCAAACACTTGACACTAGCTGTGTGACCCCAGGCAAGTCACTTAACCCCAGCTGCCTAAGCAAAAAAAAAAAAAAAAAAAAAGGATTCAGAGACTCATCACTAAGTACTGAAACCAGTATTCAAACTCAGATCTTCAGGTTCCAAATTCATATTTTTGCCACTACTGTGGGTGAAATTCAATCTCAAGGCATATAGGGTAAATGCATTGGACCTAGAATCGGGAAACCTGTAACCTACTGCAGTTTCCTCTTTCAACTTGTTTCCCCATGTAAAATTAAGGTGTTGGATTACATCAGAGGTTCCCAAATGTTTTTGGCCTACTGCCCCTTTAAAGAAAAAAATTAGCATGTCCCTCTCCATCTGCTTTCTTTAACCCTTTAACAAACAGATAAAATGTTTTTTAAAATGACATCTTAAATTTAATTATTGTAAATTCGTGGGTTTTTTTCCTGCATTGAACTTTTGATGACAATATTGCCTCATGTAACTGTATAGTATCATATTGTAAACATCATTACACTCACATATTCCTGACAATGCATTGCTGGACTTCTGACAACGTGTGACAGACTCGGGCAACACTTGCTTTTTAAGACCTGTCAGCGGACTTGACCACTAATTGGTTATAACTTGCATTTTGTGTGTTTATTTGGAAAATGATGTAATCATTACTACTTTAACTCTGTTATACAGACCTGCTCAACCTGCAGCCCACCAAAGGATTTCCTCTATGTGCAAAGGATGTTTTCCTCCACGTTTTTCATTGGCTGGCCAAAATCCTGTCATGTGCTTTGGGCCATTGTGCAGGCCTGCTGTTACACAACAGATGAAACACATGTATGAAAGATTTTTCAAAATTCTCTTCTTAATGCTTCCACTGTCTCTTAGTTTTATTCAATGCCCCCAAATTGTACCTGAGGCCACTACTGTTTCCCCCCTTCCCCCATGGTTCCCTCACTCCCCAGGGGGTGGTATCTCCCACTTTGGGAACCTATGGACTAACTAGATAATCTCTAGGTTCTTTTCCAGCTCATATATTTTGTGATTTGGATGTACATGGACCTTTCTCCTTGGAAAGTCTATTTCTTTTCAGTGGAAGGTCAGTCACTGTAGTTGAAAAAGTAACCTGCCACACACAAATCCTTAGTGGTCAGAAGTAGAGTTGGCCTTTTTATTTGGATAACTGGCATTTAATGCAGTTATGTAAAGTTATGCACTGCAGTTATCTATGCTTTTGTTTCAGCTCCTTAGACTGAAATAACAGTGTAACAATACATGGAACATTAACTGTATGCAAAGCACTTGTACTAAATTGAGATAAAACTCCTACCCTGGAATGAATACCAACTCAGATGAAGGCAGGAGGCCATCTGTTATTCAGATGTCCAGTTTCCCCCATGGTTTGGCTAAAGGCATATTAATTGTAGTCTTTCGCCCAGAAGGATATTAGCATCTTGCTGGGTTTAAAAGGGTTTGGGGGTATTCTCACTAAGTATCTCTTTTTGCTTCTTGTTGAACTTACTATTCAGTTCATGTCAAGGAAAGGTAATGAGCCTAGACCTCTCATGCAAAATACACAGGCTAATGACAGAATACAGGATACATTTAGACATAAAAATGTGCAAAGGATGTGCACCCCGAACTCTTAAATGATCAAGAATAAACAGTTCTTTGAATCCTACTTAACAGAAACCTAAGCACCACTCTCTCCCAGCAAAAGGAAAGCTTTTGTTTTGTGTGCTAAAGAGTCAAGCAAGGCTCGCCTCTGCAGAACCCCACTCCTTCAAGGTCCTTCGGACATACTGTGTTGTATGTGGTATAATGGGGTGTTGAGAGAATTAACACCTCTGTTGAGAGAGCCCATTTCAGGGATACTCATCCACTTTAGGTGTCCACCTGTCTCCCAAATCTTACCTGTGGCTCCAAGAAGCTGTAGCATTGACAGCAACCACAGCCAGGTAAAATTGGGCAGATGGGGTAATCCACAAGCCTCAAACACAGTGAGTCTGGGGTGTCTATCCCAATGAGGACACGCCCCCGCCCATGGTCGGATGAAACGATTTGTACTAAGGCCATGGTGGCAGGCTGAAGCAGACTGTGGAGTGCTTTAGAGCTTGGCCAGACATCAAAGCCTCCAACCTCATCCACTGCATTCTGAGCCTTAACCAGTCCTGACTGGTTTTGCTGCTGCATTTCCATGACTGGAAGAGAGTAAGGCTGAAACTTTGTGCAATCCTGCCTCATTTAAATCCAATCACCACGTGATGTCATGGTCTTCTTCAAAAGGCAGGACCAACAACTGGAAAGAATAACCTTGTACAATATTTGGGTCCTCTGCTGCCCCTCATCAAGGGAAAAGTATTTGACAATATAGTCCACCTTCCTCCCCTGGATCTACATATTACATGGCCAAAAACCAGGTTTGTTCTTTCACATGATGGATCCATCCTCCCTGCTACTCAAGTCCAGTAGCACACAGCTTTGCTCCTGCCATTCCTGAAGGCCACAAGCTCAGGCCAGGAACCTGCTCCATGCTCACGTTTCCCTTGGGCATAGGGTTCCATGGAAAGGCTGTATGACTGCACGTGCTTTTGGAGAACAAAGTCCGTATGTGCCGGACCAGTTTCTCCGCTTCTCAGCTTTTCCTTTTAAAGGTCAAGTGAAACATTATTACACAGAGCAAGGAGTTTGTATGTTATTAGAGACACTTTAAGGGAAAGGAATTTTGTACCTGGTATATAGATAATTTCATGTTGTTGGCCGAAGGCAAAATGGGCATACCTACTACAGAATTAATAAGTTTGTGTCAAAAAAAACGCTCAGGCTACTCCGAGTGCTAATAGTTTTCTTCTTTTTCCAAGTTCGGGTTCATTTCGGTGCGAGAAGACAAAGAATGGATCGCCTTTCTGCGTGCTCCGCTTCCTCTATCTCCACCTCCACGTTCCCACCTCCAGTATTTAAGACGATGACCTTTTTTGTCTTTGTACCACTTACAACGCCTAGCACTCTTCCCCTTGTTTTCAAAGCAGAGCACTTAAAAGATCGTTATGGAATTTAATTGAATCGAGAGAGGCAAAACTACTACTTCCAGCTGGTCTTTGGGGCAGGAGAAAGGAATGGGACGTGCATTATCCGCCACGTGGGAGCTTGTCGGCCAATCGTGGCTGCCGTTACAGCTGTCGGTTGGCAGCTACTTGTAAGAAGCCATGGCGGAGGGTCTGAGTTGAGGGTTGGCTGTGGCGGCTGCCAGCTTGGGGCTCTAGGGCGAAGCTGCGCGCTGAGGCTGCCAAAACAGGTATATATGAGTGATGTGGCGCGTCAGGAGGGGATGGTTTGTCAGGAGGCAGAGAACTGCCATACTACCAAACCAAGGCAAGGGCGTCGGGAGGCAGAAGGCGCTGAGAGGCCGGTGCCTCCGCTCCATCTGCTTGACAGCCAGCGGAAGTGACGTGCGAGGGCGCGGAGCATGCCGGGAGGCTGCCCTCCGCCGAGGGTGGCAGGGCTCTGAGGACATGCTAGTCCCCGTCACGCCCAGACAGGATGGAGAAGAGGCGGTCTGGGCTGGAGGAAAGGCGGGTCCGGAGCCGGGGGAGGCCGTGAGGTGGGTGCCATTCCCGGGGAGGAGGCTGACTGGCGCTCATGTCTGCCTGAGCCACCGCACCAGGATCGGGGACTGTCGGAGCTGGAGGCACCTCAGTCGTGATCCAGTACGATCCCTTCATCGTGCGGCGGAGGAAACGGAGGCGCGGGGAGCTGGGGGTCGGGGTGTGCGTGGCGGGTGGGACGAGAGGGACTTTCCCGGGGTCGCATGGACAGGATTCGATCTCCGCGTCTTCGAGTCCAGATCCAGCGCTCTTTCCGCTCCTCACCCTTAGCCTTGCTTCAGGCGGGGCAAGGGTGCCCGGTGACCAGGGGGGAGGTGGAAGTGCTGCCTCCGGGTCCCGGCTCGGGGCTGCGGTGAGCGGGGCTGTCCGAGCCCTCTTCCCTCGTTACCCACCTGTGCGATCCCGGACGAGCGACCCAAACTCTCCAGCCTCCGTTGCTGCCCCTGTGAAAAGGGCTGATAGTTCCTGTGCAAGCTCCCCTTCAGGTTTGTTGTGAGGAATGTGCCTTTTGAACCCTAAAGATGATGATGATGATATCCGACCTTTCTCTTGACTCTTAACATTTGTAAGTTATGCCTTTTGAGCCTCAATCACGACTACCGGTTATCGGATAGGATCGTAGATTTAGAGCTGGAACGAAGTCACCAAATACAACTTCTCGTTTTACATATAAGAAAACTGAACCCCAGAGAAAATTAGTGACATATACGGGGTCACAGTGGTAGTGAGTAGTGGGATGTGAATCCAGGACCTACGTTTCACTATTCGTTTCAAAACTGATTTGGAGAAAGCTTCTTTGCAGTCTATGATCTTTACAGAGGAACAGATTATCTACAAAACTGATAGCTAAAGGGTAAATGTCTCATAGCTGAGGACTCTGAGTAATAGTATTTTGTAAAACTTCCTTCTTGCTTTCTCTGCCTTATGTTTCCAAATCAGTACTATAATCGAGTATTCCTTTCTTCTCCCTCCCCCCTAAAACAAAAAAGCAAAAAACAAAACCAAACACACCTTTCCTGTTATTTTGAGATGGAAGCAAGAGGATAAATAGTGAAATGAGAACTGTTCTCCACCAAATTCCTCCAGTGTTTGATCATAGTTTAGAGGTGATCCTAGGTTCTTTAGGACTATGCCAATGGAGCAGAAACTCTAGCAGCTCCTACTAAGATGAAAAGGGGCTTTGAGTGGTGAGGCTCTATGAAGAACTGTGTCTGTCATTCAAGGAAATCCTAGCTGTATTTGGTTAGGCTCATCATGAGGTTGGGGACAAAGTGATTTGGCCATAGCAATTCTCAAGGACTGTCTACTAAGTCATAGTGTTGTTGTGAACTCCCTGGGAATCTACATATGAAAGAAATCACAGATCCCTGAGGAAGAGATCACTAAAACATTTTACATATTTGAGATTGGTATTATTACTAAGATGGAATGACAGTATTTTCTCTGGCTACCTCTTAGAATTATTGTAGTGATGAAATAAATAATGTGAAAGTATTTTTTTTAAAGCTTTGGAGTATTTTACAAGTATATAATATTTGAGTATTTTAAAATATTCAGTGACAGGATGCAGGGAAAGAAGAGCAGGTAGAGATATGGGGTGTAAGAGTAGATGTCAATTTCAAGTAAAGGAGATGGTGTGAGTGAAGGCATAGAAGAAAGAACAGGAGAGTAGGAAGTAGAGAATAATTCAGTTTAATTGGAAATGTAGCACAAAGTAAGAGAAATAGTATGAGAAAGCTTGAAAGGTAGTTTGAAGATAAATTGTGTCTGGCTTTGAATGCCAGGATTAGGAGTTTATACATTATTTGTTAGGCAGTAGTAGGGTGTCGTTTATTTATTAGTTGCTATTAGTAAACAATTTTATAAGTTCCTGTATCCAAAAAAAAAAAATCACCAGACTTTTGGAAATGAGTCTCCTCGAAAACTTAGCTAGCTGGTTCTTAGATCACATTCTATACTTAAATCACATGCTTAGATCACATTCTATACTTAAATCTTTTCTAGCTTGCTTGGGCCTGTTAAAGCTTGGCATTTCTTCAAGAACCCAGAATCCCCTCCATGCCACAGTGAGGCATTAGAGGAAGACTTTGGCGAAGAACAAATGTAAATATAATTTTTATTAGGCTGCCATGTGCATCTGACATAGCATGCTTCCTTTTTTTTAATAATTAAATTTTATTTTTTTCAGTTAGCAAAAATCTGCCTTCATTCCTTCCATTTCCCCTCACAATTATTTGTTGGTACTTATATGCCAACACATATAACCTAAAGAATAGAATTCAGTCAATCAAGCATTTATTAAGTGCTTTTTATGTGCTAGACTCTGTGCCTAAATTCACTTCAAACATTAAATGCCTACTGTGGGCAAGGGTCTTTCAGAAGAATAAAATAATGTATAGTACATTATTCTTATTTTTGTCAGTTAGTAAGCATTTATTAGGTGCTTACTATGTTCTAGGCACTGTAATTGAGTTATCCATACAAAAATTAATGCTTTCTTAGTGTTTTGAGATGGATGAAACAGGTGTTGTCATTTCCATTTTTATTACAGTTTTCAAAGTTACTGTTAATGGCAATCATGATCACTTGATGATTTGGTATACTGAGATACTGTTTTTCCTTTATGCCTGGAAGAATGTGCAAGAACAGTTTGTATCTTTTAGAAGTACAAACTTCTACAAAGTGAACACTTTGTTATGTCTTACTTCTGGTTCTGATATTTTAAAGTAAAAGCAAGTTAACATCTAATAAGAATTAGGAAAACTGTTCAAAAAGTCCATTTACTCTTGGAATGCCAGCCTACCCATCGTGGCTAAAAATATTGATGTCATGATAGGGAATATTTTAAATTATGAGTTGTCTTTAAAACATATTTGAAAATAAGAGTAATTCTGAAAACCACTAAATAGATTAATAAATTACACTTGGTGGCTCAGTTCACTGATTTTTGTTTTGTTTATGGGGAGCATTCATCCTGAGAGTCCTATAGTTTTCAAAAATTTTTTGGAAAATTATCTTTTATATATATTTTTTAAAAAATAGATTTTTATTGACATCTTTCATTTTTGCATCCAGATTTTAAATGCCAAATGGAGGAGTTTTCATTTTACCTTAGAGGCAAGAGGGAGTCACAGGAACTGCTTTCAGCATCAAAGGGAGATAGTCAGACTTATGCTTTGGGAATATCAATTTGGCAGCTATATGAGTGATGGATTGGAGGAGGATAAGACCAACTGGAGACAAACAGTAGTCCTGGCAAAAGGTTATGAGGGCCTGAACTGTGTGAATAAAGAGGAATGGTGGTTAGGAGAAATTGGGAGGTGGAATCAACAATACTCAACAATAGGTGGGAATATGAGGGGACAGTAAAGATGACCCCAAGGTAACTTACCTGGGTTAAGTATGATAGAGGCCGTAGAAGAAATAGAGAAGTTAGGAAGAAGGAAGGTTTTTCGGAGAAAAAATAATTCTGTTTTGGGCATGTTGAGTTTGAAATGCCTGGTGATATGGATCTGGAACTCAGGAATGAGACTCTGGATTTATAGATCTGGGAAGCATCTACGTAGATATTTGAACTTATGGGAGACATAGAGATGACTAAGAAGAAGAAGAATATAGAGAGATAGGAGAAGAGGGCCCAGTGCAAAACCCTGGGATACATCCTGGGAGCAGGACATGGATTATAATCCAGCAGAGGAGGCTGTGAAGGCCGGACAGAGAGGAGAACTAAGAGAGAACAGTGTAACTAATAACCAGAGAGGAGGAAACGATCAGACTCAGAACTGGAAGGCATCCCTCCAGTCACCAACTCCTACCCCTTCATTTCATGTGTGGAGAAAGTTGGACTTAAGAGAGGTAGTGACTTGCCTAAGATTATGCCACTGCTCAGCAGCAGTGCCACTTCTCAGACTGTGCAAACCTTTGACTCCAAATCCTATGTACTTTACACTGTAGGAGAGGATAGTTAAAGGAACAGAGGTGGTCAGCTGTGTAAAATATTTCAGAGAAGTCAAGAAGAATGAAAACTGAGAAGAAACCATTCACTTTATGTACATATCATACATATGTACACATGGGAGCTGAGTTTTTGACCTGGATATTTTGATGTTTTTATGATTTAGGCAAATCAGAACCTCTCTGAAACTAACTTTCCTCATTTGTGAAATGAAGGTAATACTTGAGCTGAGAAGATCAAATAACATGGTCTGTGCAAAGTGCTTTGTAAATCACAAAGCTCTGTGAAAATGTGAGCTATTGTATCTTCTATGCTAAATAGTGATAATGCTTTATTTCAGCAGAGCTAAAAGACCTGCATTTGAGTTCTAGCTCTTACCAGTACCAGCTCTCTGGCAAATCACTTAAGTTCTCTGAGTTTCTTTTCTCTTTTCCTCCTTTCCTTTTTCTTTGTAAAATGGGGATTATAAGAATACTTGTACTACTTATCTTACAGGATTGCTGTGAGAAACATGGTTTGTAAACTTGGGCCATTATTAAATTCCTCTCAGTCCTCATGTACCTTTGGGGTAGGTAGTGTAGATAATAACCTCATTATACAGATGAGAAAGTTGAAGCTCAGATTGTTTGAGTGACTTGCCTAAGATCACATCCTAGTTAGTAGGAAAGGGGATAAGAATTTAGGTCTTCTGACTCCTCATAGAGTATTCTTTCTTCTCTACCAAGTGAAGATGATGAGATGCAGGCACAAAAATATATTGAGTTTGAAAATTCCACACAAACAATATGATTATTAAATAGAGTGCAGTGCACCCACTAGGAACTCTATTTTTTCAGCTAATCTGTCTTTTGTATATATGGATTTTCCTTTTACTCATACATATTACAACCTATTCACCCTTTCTTACCCTTTTGTTGACTTCTATGCCTTTCTTGTTCATGTTTTTTAAAAATCCTCCATGGAGGAGCTACCTCAAATGTCGCTTGAGGCTTTTCTCGGGGCCTTTTCATAGTTTGTGGGTATCATTGCAGCACTAGACTGTTAATTTTTCCATGCCATATGACCAGACCACCTTTTAAAAATTCAGTGATGGTGGTGACTTTTAATTGCATAAGAATACAAGCTAGCTCTTTCAAAGTAGTTTTATCTGTATTCCAGCATATCTTATCAATTTGTTAATTCATTGCCTGAAAACATGACTTTTGGAGAAAGTTCTTTCTGTGGGAACCAAACTGAGTGGATCCTCCCTGATGGGTTGATTTATTGTATCATATGTAGGCATGAAGCTTTGGAGTAGTTTACAAGTCTTTGGCTTCTTTCATTTCTTGACAAACCCTATTTTTCATCCTGATCCTTTATCCTTCACTCTACCCACTTTTACTCTTTAGTTTGTCAGTGTCAAAGTAAATGTTCACTTAGTTTAGAAGATCTTGTGTTCTTTGTATAATTCCTTTACTACTTCTTTCTCTAGAATAGATGTCAAAGTGCAGTCATTTTTATACTGGTATGTTTGCTTCTGCTTATTGTGAATATGTTAAGGCTCAAAATACTCAAAATAATTGAGTGTCTCACAAATTAGTTTCTTGGCTTATAAGAAGGCATGAAACCAGTTCTCAGTTCCTTTATTCATTTCTCTGAAAAGAACCTGTGACTTAACCCTTCTATTTAATTTCGTGGCTTTTATGCCTTTAGTTTGATTCATTGCAATAATATCACTATAAATGTGGTTCATTTCCTCCAGTAGTGTATCTGCTGGTCTTCAGATAAATATTTCAGATTGAATATTATCAACATAAGATGGAAAAGGAAATAAACAAATTAACCAGGCCATGTCGGGAGCAATGCTAACATGTCAGCATTCAGAAACAAAGATATACACCGGTCTTATGAGAAGCAATATGGTATGAAATATGGTATGAATTAGTATAGAATTAGAAATCAGGGGAACTTGCATCCAGGCCTAACTTTGTTCGTGATTTGTTATGTTATCAAACTTTGTTCATGATTTGTTATGTTATCTTGGCAAGTCACTTAAACTCTGTTTGTCTCTGTTTCACTGTTTGTTGTAAACTTTCCTACCTCTCATAGTGTTATAATACCCAAATGAGATCATGTATATGTAATTTCTTTGAATGGTATAAAGCACTGTACTTATTATAATCATTATTTTTATTAGCAAGCATGAATATCTAACATACAAGTATTATCAGCTGCCTCTTTTCTAGTGACATTGGCACTATTTATCCCTTTTTGACAATCAATTACCATTCTGGCCAGTGATTTTTCTCAGAACCTAGTGACCTCCTATCATCTGTAATAATTTGGATTCCTTCTTTTCTGTTTCCTCCTCTTTGTTAATTTTAGTGTAAAGTCAATTCACTGTGGAATGTAATGAGAATCTTGCCTAATCTTTGGAACCATCCGGCAGGTGCCCTGCCATTGGCTGGTCAGGAAAGAGGAAGCAGAATGTTCTCATTGTTACACCATAAGTTTAAAACTTCAGACTCTGGTTTGGTTAGTGCCAATGACGTGGACAGGTTGTTTTTGGCACCTCTTCTCTGTGATCACAAGCTGATGAGATAAATACCTTCTAGGCCTTGTGAATCTACAAAGCAGTTAGGTCTTGCCATCATCTAGGTGCAACAGCTGCTTTGTTACCCTGAGATTATTTGGGGGTTTTAGGGAACTCTGGAAGGGAAAGAAATGTTCTTGTCCTTCAGCTCCTTACTCAGGGATAGCATGTTAAAGCTAAAGGATTAGATTAGATATTCTCTATATCTTGGTCTTTTTATAGAGCAGAAGCTTATCCTGAAGAAAACTTTTAACAGTTTGGTAATATTAAACACCAGCATTATGTTATGTGCCATAGAGAATACATAAAATACAAAGTTTTCCTACCCTTTTATTTTGCTAGTAGGTTCAAATTGATATTTATGTTTGGGATTTCACTTGGAAGGTGGTGAGTGACTTTTGTAAATGCTTTCTTTAATACTACATATAAATTAAGTATTTGTTATGAATTGTACATCTCTGTTGATATACTTAATGTGTTTTCTAGGGCCTGTGAAACATGGAACCAAACTCGCTGAGGACTAAAGTTCCAGCATTTTTATCTGATTTGGGAAAAGCTACCTTGCGGGGGATCAGGAAGTGTCCCCGGTGTGGCACATATAATGGAACCCGAGGACTGAGTTGTAAGAACAAAACATGTGGAACCATCTTTCGCTATGGAGCACGAAAGCAGCCCAGCATTGAAGCTGTCAAAATAATCACAGGATCTGATCTGCATATCTACTCAGTACGGCAGAGAGACAGGGGTCCAGATTACCGATGTTTTGTGGAGCTGGGTGTCTCAGAGACGACAATTCAGACAGTGGATGGTACCATCATTAGCCAGCTGAGCTCAGGACGATGTTATGTCCCCTCATGTTTAAAAGCAGCCACTCAAGGTGTTGTTGAAAATCAGTGTCAGCATATCAAGCTGGCCATAAACTGCCAGGCAGAGGCCACACCTTTGACCTTGAAAAGTTCAGTCTTGAACTCAATGCAGGCCTCCCCAGAAACCAAACAAACCATCTGGCAGTTGGCCACAGAACCTACTGGCCCATTGGTACAGAGGATTACTAAAAACATTTTAGTGGTAAAATGCAAGGCCAGCCAGAAGCACAGCTTAGGGTATTTGCATGCATCCTTTGTGCAGAAAATCAGTGCCAAGAGCATGACAGAGCGCCGGTTCTTCTGTTCCTGCCAGACTCTGAAATCAAACAAGTCAAACACCTCCAAGGATGAGCTGGCCCAGAGATGCATTCACTTCTTTGCATGCATCTGTGCCTTTGCCAGTGACGAGACGTTGGCTCAGGAATTCTCTGACTTTCTCAGTTTTGATTCCAATGGTAGGTGGGGTTGGCACATGCACTCTTTCATTTCTAAAATGAGAAGGAATGGTTGAGTGAACTAAGTGCCATAATCTTAAAAAAGAGTGAGCAGTAGCACCAGGTAGTGTTTTAAGAAGAGCTTGCAATCTTAAGGGACAACTAGGGCCTTCTTTATCTTCATCACAAACAATACTGTAGATTGATATCTAGAGGCCTCTCAAATACAGTTTTTGACACTTTATTTCTGACAGTGAAACTAACTGAGTGAGCCTGCCCATTTTTAAATAAGATAACTTAACAGAAATATTTGGTGTCAAAAACATAGCAAGCCAGGTCCTATCTTATCTGAGTCTAGCAGTTAGACTACATTGAAATTTGTTTCATTCAGTTTGTCACAGTTTATCTATATGTGACTATTCAGAGAACTACAAACCCCTGATTCATATGGTAAGAAGATGACCCTTGATGAATTAGACAGCTTAGACTTGACTTTTTCATCTTTTGCATGGTAGTCTTTAAAAAAGTCTAAGAATCTTCAATTTTCTTTCTGATTTTTTCTGATTTTTGAAGATGTGGAAAACTACAATGTCTTTATTTTCTATATGGTCCTTAAAAATTCTGAAGATCAATTGTAGTTTCTGATTTTACCTTCCTTTTGATTTCAGTGATATTTCCTTTTTTTCTGTTCCCCCAAATATACAATAAAAAAGAAACCTTCATAACAAATATACATAGTAAAACAAAAATTCCCACATTGACCATGTCTAAAAATCGATGTCTCATTCTGCATTTTAAGTCCACCGCCTCTCTGGCAGGAGGTGGAATAGTATGCTTCTTTTTTTGGTCCTCTGGATTGTGCGTTATCATTGCATTCATCAGAGTTCTAAAATCTTTGATAGTTTGTCTTTATAATGTTGTCATTGTATAAATTGTTCTTCTAATTCTAATTTCCTCTGAAACTGTTTATTGTCATTTTTCATGTCACAATTTCCCATTTTATTCATATACTATAGTTTGTTTAGCCATTATCCAATAGGTGGGCACCCCATTATTTTCCAGCTTTTTGCTACTATGGAAAGGGCTGCTATTTTTGTCCTTTTCCTCTTTCTCTGGGTCCTTTCCTTCTTTTTAAAATTTCTTTGGGTTGTGTGTCTACTAGTGGATGGAGGGGATAAGAACAGTTGAGTGACTTTTGGGACATAATTCCAAATTGCTTTCCAGAATGACTGTGCCAATTCACAGCTCCACCAATAGTGCATTAGTGTGTTTGTTTCCTCACAGCCTTTTCAGCGTTTGTCATTTTCCTCTTCTGTTATCTTTGCCAATCACTGATAAGTGTGATATGGAGCCCCAGAGTTGCATTAATGTGAAATTTCTTTAATTATTAGTGATTTGGAGCATTTCCCCACGTAATTGTTAATAGCTTGGATTTCTTGCTTTGAAAACTGACCACTCATACCTATTGACTATCTATTGGAGAATGGTTCTTAGTCTTAAAATTGGAATCAATTCTTGCTAAATCTTGTCTATGAGATCTTTTATCAGAGAATGTTGCTGTAAGGATTTTCCCCCTAGTTACCTGTTTTCCTTTTAATTTTAATTGTACTGATTCTATTTGTGTAAAACATTCTAATTATGAAATTAAAATTGTCCGTTTTATCTTCTGTGATCATTCAGTCCCTTATTTGGTTAAGTATTTTCCCCATCCAAAGATCAGAAAGATAATTTTTTTCTTTGCTTCTCTAATTTGCTGATAATGTCACCTTTTATGATTTAAGTCACTATCCATTTGGAGTTGATCTTGGTATACACTGTGAAATGTTGGAATGTAACTAATTTCTTTCATACTTCTTTCTAATTTTCCCAGCAGTTTTTATCAAATAGTGAGTTGTTATCTCAGTAGCAGGGTCTTTGTGTTTATCAAACACTAAGCTACTAGATTTGCTTGATTCTATTCTATGCATTATGTGCCAAATTTGTTTCACTGATTGACCTCTCTTTTTTAACTGTTATGAAATCGTTGAGATGATTGCTACTTTATAAAATAGTTTGAAATTTGGTACTGAAAATTTGGTATCCCTGCTTTCTCACCTTTTCCCCATTACTTTTCTTGAGATACTTGACCTTTTGTTCCTCCAAATGAATTTATTTATTATTTTTTTAACTCTATAAAATGATTCTTTGGTAGTTTGAATAAGTGAGTTAATTTAGCTAACACTACAATTTTATTATATTGGCCTATCTATGAACAATTAATATTTCTCTAATTATTTAGGTCTGTATCTGTTTCTGTAGATAGAATTTTATAGTTGGATTTATGTAGTTCCTGAGTGTGTCTTAGGAGATAGATTCCCAAGTATTTTACACATTCTTTATTGGAATTTGTCTTTTTATGTCTTGTTGCTAGTTTTTTTTTTTTTGGTAGTAACAAGAATGCCACTGATTTATATGGTTTATTTTATATACTATAAATCTATGTGTATATATATATATATTATGTATATATATATACTATAATCTATACTATAAATCTACATATACTGCATTAGTTGATTCTATTAATTTTTAAAGTTGACTCTTTAGGATTTTCCAAGAATTTAAAATCATATCATCTGTAGGAAATGACCATTTTGTTTCTTCTTTGCCATTCTCATGCCCTCAATTTCTCTTTCTTGTCTTATTGCTATAGCTAGCATTTCCAGCACAATGTTTACATTAGAAAGATTGGAATTTAAGAATACCTTGAAGGGCCAAACTGTCAATTGGCAGTGCATTTTTTAATCCGTAAGGCAAAAAAAAAAGAAGATAGGATTTTTATTTCAGAGTAAAATTATAATAAAACTTTTGTATCACTTAATATGCTTGGTCCTACTATTAAGTAGTAGTGATAATGGACATCCTTATTTTACTCCTCAATCTTATTGGATTTCAGTGATTAAAAAATGCAAAATGTATTTATCTCCAATGGGCAGTCATCCTCTAACTCTTTATCTTTAAGCTTCTATGCACACTTTCCTTCCCCTTTCTCTCCTTGGCCTTTCTCTCATATTGAAAAAACACTTCTATGTATTAAGGAGCTCAGTACTTAAAAGAAGTCTGTTTTGAAACGGATTTAATAAATATTTTGGGGGGTTTGGATTTTGTAAGTTCAGTTTTCTTTAAGTGGGGCACACTGGGTTTCTTAAATGATTTGTTAATTTAGAGATCTATTTTCTAGGTCTTAAAGGGATTATTGTGCCCCAGTTAGGTTGTCATTCAGAATCTACAGCACAGATTTGCGAGTCCACCACCTCTAAGCCAAAGAAGAGGAAAAGGGATGAAGCATCTGGTGAGAAGCTGTTTCGAACTTTTGTTTTATTCTATTTCATATGTTGCTGTGGACCCTCTTGATTTTCTGAGGAATTAAAAGAATTGAGCTTTTTTTTCTTTTTAGAGTAAATCAAGAAGAGGATTCACATCTAGAGGTCAAAATAATGCAATCTCTCTAGCACTGACTTTTGGTATTTCCATGTTGTTGGATATTTTTCTATCTTCTAGAACTTTCTGAAAAATTTTGTATCTTTAAAAAAATTTTTTTTTAATCTAGTTAGAACTGTGCTATAGTGTTAGTGAAAGCAGGACTACAAAGCTTGCCCTTTTTCTAGAAAGGACATTTTACCCTTTCCCTGTATCTTATCAGACAGTGGATATGTTATCCAGCTTCACCTGCTTCTTGCCAGTTTTCTTCAGGGAGGTAGGGCCAGTTTTGTTAAGGGAGGTAGCTACTTTGCAGAGATAATAGGGTGGGGTTATATATATGGGCGCTTGTAACGGCATATTTGTGAAGTGTTGGTTAATTTTGTTGGACATTTTGTCCCCTCTTTTTTACTTATTATAAAGAATGGATCTCTGGGAGGAAGCATACAATGGGAAATGTAGATAACTTAAAAATGAAAGATATCGATGAAATTTTATTCAAAAAAATTTTTTTCCACTCAGTTCCATTTTTTTCAGTTTCAGATTCTCTTCCTTCTTCCATCCCTTCCCCCTCCCATTGAGAAGGCAAGAAATACAAAACCCATTACAAATATGAAGCCATACAAAACAAATTTCCTATTAGCCATGTTCCAACTACAACCCCAAGAAAACCCAAGCAAAAGAAAGAAAGAAAAAAAAATGTGCTTCAGTCTGTACTTTGAGTCCATCAGTTCTTTATCTGGAGGTAGATGGCATTTAAAAAAAATATTTGTTGACCTGAAATTTTCATCCAATGGGATATAATTCCTTTCCATACCTTAACTCAGTTCCACTGTTAGTTTAGGAAGTTCAAAACCACAAGTAAAGATTTATTTTAATTTCTTTCATAGAATATGCAAAGTGTACCTAAGCATTATGTGGGAATCATTGCACATTTTGGTCCCTGCAAAAATTAATTTGTATATATATCCTGCAGACATATTGCTAAAATTTTCAGTCATTTGTATTTTAGGTACACAAGCCAATAGTCCACTTTTGGCTCAAGATGCAGTGAGCAATAATCTAAGAAAAAACAGTTTGAAAAAGCCTGCAGTCACCTCTTCAATAAAAAGGCAGGGTAAGTGTTTCTTTACTGGGATGGCTTCAGGTGGTGGAATTTTATCCCTGGGAAGTCAAAGTGCTCTCTGTTGAGAACTGTTCAACCATTTGGACACTGAAAATAGGAAAAGTTGCTATGATTTTGGCATAGGGAAACAAGGAGACTGGGGAAATAGAGAAGGGGGATTGAGCAATGACAGAATCCTCTTTGTATTACATTTGGAATATAGAATAAATAGTATTGGACTGTTAAATTATGTCTTTTAAATGAGCAAGTGTAATAGAAATATATTGAATCGTTTTGGTAGGATGGGTGGATTTTGTAGAATTGGGGGGGGAAGAGAATTCCTTGTTTGGTTTCTTATCTACATGCACCATTGGCACTGCAGTTCCCTTCCCTAGCAATACTTTCCAGTTGTATAGTGCTTTTTAGTTTATATTCATCATCCCATTTGATCTTCACAATAACTCTGACATAAGTGGGGAAGAGAAACAGCGCTGTATTATTACAAACATGCCAAGGTCTTCCCATCCTTAAAAAAACTATCACTTGACTTTGTTTTCTCCTCAAGCAGTCATCTTTTATTTCTTCTCTCTTTTCCAATCACACTCCCAGAAAGGATCATTTACACATATTGTCTTCATTTCTTCACCACCACCACCCCTCTGCACCAAATTAATTCCTTTGCCACCTGACTTCCAATGCCACCGCTTGACTAAAACTGCCCTATTCAAGGTTACCAATGATCTCTCTATTTTTTAAATTAAAAAAAAATAGGAAGCTTTTTACTGCTTTAACAACAACAACAAAACAACAACTGTGTGATAGTGAGTTTTAACTTCTTCAGCCAGAAGACTCCCCTGTTTCTTACTGGTTGCTTCTGCTGCCATCTCCCAAAGATTTAAGATGCTTTTCAGACCCTCTTTAGACTGTGACCTCGTAGTTGTAGCCTGATCTTCCTGGTTCACGTACTGCCACCTCTGTTAGGGGTGATCAGTATGTCATGAAACTTTTCTGCCAGCCAGAGACAATCTTTTCCTTATTGAATTTCTCTGACCATCTGCCTAGACATCTCCTATGTGTTTGTCATATAATAATAATAATAACTGTTATTATTATTCACAGTTATATAGTGCTCTAATGCTAAGGTTTACAAAATGTAAACAATAACCACGTGAAGTAGGTGGTACAAGTAGTACTCTCTCCATTTTTACTGGTGAGCAAATTGAAGCTTAGAAATAAAATTCATGGTCACACAGTTGGTCAAAATCAGAGCCAGGATACCATCTTAGGAGACTTCAGATCCATTGTTTTCTACTACACTGTGCTACCTCACTAAATCTTAGGCTCCTAGAGGGTAGAAACTATGTTTTGTTTCTTCTTTGTGTCTTCAACACCTAGCACAGTATATTGCACATAGTAGGTGATTAAATACATCTGTTCAATTGGTTAAATGATAGATTGGTCTTGTGGTTCAGACCTGTAATTTTATTGTAGAGGTGACTCTTTCTTTCAAGGCATCTGGGCAGCTGTTCTGCAACTTATAATCTTAGAGAGATAAATGACTTACCCAACATCATATAGCCCATTTATGTCTGAAACAAGATTTGAACTCAGGCCTTTGGGACTCCAGTGACTGCTCTTTATTCACCACCCTGTGCTGTAGGTACATCTGGATATATAAGTGTGATGTATTAATCTATAGTGTAGAGATCAGTCTAATACACTTGAAGGCAGGTTTTGGCTCTTAAGAAGCCGCTTGGCTATTTTGGTTTCTTTGGTGATAAAAATTTAAAAGGAATTAGACTAATTTGTAGGTGCCAGTTCATTAAGAACTGTATTAAACAGCCATGTGATATGTTATATTTTTTTTTTGCTAGGTTTTAAAAATTTGCCAACTTCTCAGTATGTTGATGGATTTTGTTCTAAAAGTTTCCCAGCTAATACAAAAATCTTTTTTTTTTAGTCTCCCACTTTTTAAAAAATTTTAACTCATTGTTTTTTGATGCTTTCAAATTAGCCAACTTTTCCCCATGTTTTTGACTGTTTATATTGTGAGTAAAAGTGGTTGTTACTGAAGAGATCCTTGTCTTTCAGCCTGCAATCAGCTGCTAGATGAATCACAAGTGACTTTATCCTTCCAAGATTGGCTGGCCAGTGTCACAGAACGCATCCACCAAACTATGCATTATCAGTTTGATGGTAAGTACTTACTTTTCAATGGAGCTCTTTCTGGAAGAAGAAACTTAACTGTATTACTGTTGTTACTTTATTCTGAAAGAGCATTATTGAGCTTCTATCTGTTACTTTGTATCTGTCAAACTAATAGGTTGAAAATTCAAATGCTTTGGGCTGGAAGGAACAAGAGAAGGTTATAGTATGAAGAGAATAAAAATCGCAGTAAAAATGTAGTGCTAATAGAAGTCTAAGAAATGTAAAAAAAATACTAGTAACTAAAACTCAGTGAGTACCCATTCTACTCTAGTTCTACTAGCCCTGTGTAGGGGACATAAGAATATTTGAGAGATAGTCCAAGACCTATGCATGAAAATTTAATGGAGGTGAGAGGGCATACACATGACAAAAGTACATGCAAAGAAAACAAAAGCAAGAGAAACAATATCATTACACACATTTATATAGCACTTTAAGTGCTTTCTTATTTTGAAGATATGAAATTATATACTCAAGTGCTTAGTCCTGCTCCAGTAAACGGAAAGACCACATTCAGGTATGGAAGTAGTCATTGAAAAGGTTGGAAAGTTGGAAAGTTAGAAAGGACATTACAGATATAGGGAGGTCCAACCTCTCAGGTTATGTAGGGAACCCTTCAGCCATATTCTTGACAGATGATCCAGCTTCTCTTTCAACACTCTCATATTACAGAGAACTCACTATTTTGCAAGGCAGCCCATTCCATCCTAGTTAGAATTCTTTTTCTTTCTTTCTTTCTTTCTTTCTTTCTTTCTTTCTTTCTTTCTTT